TATGCAAATTCTCAGAATGATTATTTTTTTTATATATCCCAGTATGATGTCTACCTTTTCCATACAGCATGGTATTGCCAGAACATCATATTCTGTTTCTGATCCAACAAAATCCACATGTCTTTTGCTGCAGAGCTTCTGTCACCAGTCCTTCTCTAGTCTGTGCAGTTGTGTGGTTGTTTCTTCTTGCTCACAGAACTTTGCATTTTCCCTACTTAAACTTCATCACTTCTTTTAGTTTGTCCAGTTTCTGAAAACTTTCTTTGACACCAGCTGTCACTTTCATTGACACATTCTGTGTATGATGTATATGCTGCAATATGATGTATGATGTGAATGTATCGCAGCCCGGGCACCTTTAATAGGTGCTTTGTCTGTCCATTATGCAGATTATCACTGTAATTCAGTGACAACATTGAGTGCTTTTGGAACAAGGTCAAAAAGGAGCCTGATAAATTGTGCTTGCTACCCATTTTCAGTTTAGCCAACACTCAAAGCAGTTACCAAGTTGAGTAGTTTTTATGGTCAATTATTCAGCCAACTGATCGTGATTTTGTCTAGCTCACACTTCCTAGCTTTCTTCTAGGACCTTATGAAAAACATTGTCAAAAACCTTGCTAAAACCCACATATGTAACATTTACTTCTTGTTCCTAATGCACAGGAGCTGTTACCATCTTACTGCACAAGATATATTGATTTAGCCTGTCTTTTTCCCTGCCAATTTCATGTTATATATTACTTTTTTATTGGTAGTTTACCAGTGGAAATAGGTTGTAGTTTGGTCTTTTTTTTTAATAGAAATTCAACTGACTAGCATAATGCTGTAATTGTAAATGTCTCTAATAAAAAAGATAATTTAAATGCATTTTGCAAATGCCGCTAGAGAGTTCTATATTTCATGAAGACAGAAAAGTTAATTCTTTTGGACAGCAGTATAACAAAACAGAGCTAAATAAAAGTTCAGTATCTTTATTTTATTTCAACCTGACTTTTTTTTTTCTCTAACAACTTTTAGATTCCCTTTGGAAGACAAAACCAACAATTCGGGTTTCACTTTTCCAAAAACAAAGTATATCTAGATTTTACAGTGTTGGTAGTTGCCAATGAAGAGACAGACAGTGCAAGTATACAGGATCTGAATGAAGACAGGTTTTCTTCATGGCTGGGATACAAATTTCCAGAGATGCTTTTGCTCAGTAATAACAGTAGATGAATGCTGGAAAAAAATGTTAATTGGTTCATCATTTGAACATTATTTTGTGGGGGACTTTTACCCTTAGCTTTCCTTTCTAACTGTACTTTTTGTACATGAAGGCAGAATTTGTTTCAACAATTAATCTGATGAATGGGAAAACTGAGGCACTAGTTATAAGAAGAATGTGGAAATAAACTGTATCAACTGATGGAGCCTCCAGAGAGATTGGTAAAATACTGGACTCTGGAATCAACTGTATGTGTGAGCACAGTTCAAATGAATAAATATCAACCTAATTCCTTTTTCAATGTTTGGAATATTTTGAATATTCCAGTTTCATAGACAGATAAGCATCTGTCTTTCTTCTTGTCTGAAAGAAGTCTCTCTGAGACTTCAAGGCATATGAAAATGGTAATTTCAATGTATTGGAGTACACTTTTCTCCATGAACTTACAAAAAAATGATGTTCTTTATAAACTTATATCCTTATGTAGGTCATTATGGTGCCTCTGCTATCATGAGCAAAAGTGACATTGAACTTGCATCCCATCCTCTTCTAGTCAGGGTACTTTTGCTCTTCTAAATCAGCCAGTGTCCTACTAAAAAGAGAGAAAGCAGTACATAATATCACTTTTTAAAATTATTAGGTATTTTCTAGGTGGAGTAAGGTATGTCACAGCAAATTTATTTATTATTCTCAGATTAGTAAGAAAATACTATAGTTTTCTATATTCAAGTGCTATGTAAATGGGCCAGATTTTTTCTAGACAGGTTATAGCTTTACAGTTTAGATAACTACTTTAACTAGGATATGTTCCACTGATATTTTAAGAGTTTCTGTAGTAGGTCTGTCCATTATTTTCAGGCTGTGGTCTATGCAATTCCATTCAGAGATTCCAAACAGGTTTCCTTTCTTAATGGACAGTGAGAACTGGCACCAGTTGGTATCAGCTTTTTCATCTTTTTGCCCCCTCTCAGCTCTGCCTGATTTACAAGTTATTGTTAACAATGAGTCTTTTGAGCTCTGGCACCAGTTGGTATCAGCTGTATTTTTCCTCTTTTTGCCCCCCCTCAGCTCTGCCTGATTTACAAGTTATTGTTAACAATGAGTCTTTTGAGCTTAAGGTTCAATACTGAAAATGTTGAAAGGAGATTTAAGTTTGAAATGTGCATGCAGTTTGATCCTTCTCTGTCTTTGCTTTGATTCCTTTGATGTGGAGCAGGTGAACTGGTTCTCTTCAGTAACTGCACTGACTGTTCAGGGCACAAGAAGTGTATTCATGTGTGCCAGAACTGGAGTGCTCTCCAAGTCAGTTTGAGCGTCATCATTTGTGGTTTTCATGCTGTGCTACACTGCAGTCACTGCTATTGTGGCATTTTGGACATAACCTCAGTCCAGTACTGAAGTATAAAATGACCTTTTTCCACCTGAATTTAAAGAGAAAACCTTAATGAGCCATCTCTTGGTTATAGATTTAGGACTAGAACAAAGCATAGGGAGGTAGTTGAAGCAGATCATTATGTAGGCAGTGGTATGTATGGTCAATGCTCAGGGAAGCAGTGAAGTTTCTGAGGAGAAAGTTTCTAGTGCATTCACTCTGTTGTGTCCTAATAAAGTCAAAATACTTCATGGGAAAAACTTTGAAAAAATGTTGTCTTACATACAGAACAATTTGTCTTATGCAGACTCGGTATATATAGAATATATAGAATATGGAGAATATTTATAGAATATAAGTATTTAGGAATGTATAATCTTCTGAAATTAATACTGAAGATACTAATTTGTTTAATCTGATATATTTGTATAATTTCTGTCCTCCTTTGTCATGCTTTACTTTGACAAGATGGAGTAAAAAGAAACATGAATTTATTTACACACAACAGAAATAACAGAAATAATATATGAAGATTTGGAGCAATAGGAGAGCATAAAAAGTCTTCCTTCAAAATATGTTGCATTAAAATAGAAGCAATAGCAGGGACTAGGAATTTCTATTCATTCCAGTAAAACTATAAACATTGACAGCAGCAGGGGCAGAATTTTATATGCATCAAATAACAAACAAGATGCGGCACTTAAATGTTTCAAGAAAATAATTTGTATTCCATGATTTGATTTTAGTAGCTCTTCTTTGATAATACCAGTAGCATTTGGTCATTTCAGCCTCTGTGTCTCTCTGGCATCACATGTGTATTGGTTTGGCACAGCCCAGTTTCAGGTAGCAGGGGGGCCACAACGATGGATCCTGTGGGAAGCTGCTGGAAGCTTTCATCATGTCCAGCAGAGCCAATGGCCAATGGCTGTGAAGATGGACATGATGCTGGCCAAAGCTGGGCCACTGAGAGAGGCTGGTAACTCTGTGATGACATATTTAAAAAGAAAATCAAAACGAAGTTATGGGTTTTGTTTGTAGTCAGAGAGAGGAGGAGGTGAGAACACATAAGGGGAACAGCATGTAGACACCAAGGTCCTGGAGAAGGAGGGGAGGAGGGGCTCCAGGTGCCTGAGCCAAAATTCCTCTGCAGGCCCTGATTATGACCATGGTGAAGCAGCTGTGCCCCTGCAGCCCATGGGGATCCATGGGGGATGCAGAGATCCACCCACAGCCCATGGGGGAGTGGGTGGATACCTGGAAGAGGCTGTGATCCAGTGGAAGACCTGGTGGAGAGAGAGGAGCCTTGCTTCTAGGCTGAGCAGCCTGTCCTTGGAGAACTGCACCTCATGGAAAGAGAAACCTGTGTCACAGCAGTGTTGGGGGGACTCTCTGCCCATGGGAGGGACTCAGGTTGCAGCAGGTGTGGTTTGGCTGCTGCTCATGAGAGTGGGCCCATGCTGGAGAAGTTCACAGAGCCCTGTCTCCAGTGGGAGGAACACCAGGGAAAGGACACCTCCCGGCGCAGCAGAAGACAATTTCAGTGATGAACTGACCAAAACTCCCACACCCTCTCTTCCTGCTGTGTTGGTGGGAAGGAGGGAGGGGCTGGGGGGAAATGATGTTTTAAGGGCTTATTTTACTTCTCATTATCCTCCTCTGATCCTGTTAGTAATAAACTTCACTTTACACCTAAAGTTGGGCCTGATTTGCCCTTGAAATATTTCTCCCAGTCCTTATCTCACTCATGAAGCCTTCGTTAACTTTTTTTTCCCTTGCTCCTCCTTTGCCCAGCTGTGACAGGGGAGGGTGGGCGAGCAACTCTTGTGGGTGCCTGGCACTGGGGCAGTGTCAAACCACAACATCATTTCAAGTTCACATTTTACTACCATCTTGACTGTTTATTTATCCAGAACTGGGCTGCTGTTTGTTATCTAAGATGGAAGAGAGCAAATCTACCAGTGCTTGTCCCTGGCAACCTACTACATTTGTCTTCAAATTTTACTACCATCTTGACTGTTACACAGGTTCTATTTAACCAGAACTGGGCTGCTCTTTATTATCGAAGATGGAAAAGAGCAAATCTACCAGTGCTTGTCCCTGGCAACCTACTACATTTGTCCAGTCTGTTATTTTTCTTTTGTTCAGTATTTGCTTCTGCTCTGTCATTTGTTTTGTTTTTCTTATTTTCAGTGCTTGTTATGAAAAGGCTGCCATCAAGAAGAAAGAAATTATTTAGTTTAAGAGTTTGAAAGTCTTGCTCTAAATTTAGAATCAGTAACTGAACGAGGTACTGTGCAGTCCTGCACTAACAGCTAAGTCTAGTTTTATGTGTGTATGCACAAGTGACACTTCAGTTTTTGGATTTTCTAGTGAATGTTGGAAAAGGACAATATCTAACATTGCCCTTTTGTTCTTTCTTGTCAGAAAAATGATGAGAAGTTGAGTCTGCATTTTAGCAGCAGTGGAGCAGCCAGTTGCAAAAGTGAATTTTCAGAAAATACTGACCTTCCAGGGGACAGTTGTCAGTCTGCACATGGAAGATATGAGGAAAGAACATATGAAGCAATCCTGGTAGAGGATGGAGAAAGGTAGACATCAGCAAAAGAAGCATCAGGTGCTCTCATGTGTTCAGAGGTGAGTTAGAAGCTTCTTTGTTTTCATTTGTATATGCAGGTATTTTCTCTGAATGACAATGAGATAGACACAGTGGACAATTCAACCAGCTCCAGTTCAAGTAATTTGGAAGAGTCAGCTATTGGTAAGATTCTTTAAGAATGAAATGTACACAACTTTCTGACAGTAAAGCAGTTTTTTAGTCCAATGTATGAGGGTATTTCATTATTTGTCCTAAGTTCACAGTCTGTTACCTAAGAAAATCACTGTGCCTCTGTGACAGCCATGTCCAGTTTCATACACTTGGTACCACCAGGACTTTGTGTAGCTTGTCCCCATATTTTGCAGTAGCAACTATGAACACTGGAATGTTATTTGGCTTCTTGAGCAAGAAGGTGGTTTTTAATTTAAACATAAGATGACTAATATTGATAAGAAACAGATGGAAGAGTGTGAAGAAGAAAGTTGAAAGAGGCAAGCTTTAGCTGTCTGGAAGAATTAACTGAATGGAACTGAAGGAATGTGAAGATTTTAATTAGGACAGAATTATGTGACAAAACACAGCATTAATTCTGCTTACAGTTATTTATGGTAATCAAATTGGAAAACACCAGCTGTGTTGGGTGTTATCTTAAGTAACACTTTTTTGGGATTATATTTCAATTTGAAAATTTTAATAAAATCAACTCAAAAAACCCTAGCACTAAACACTATGAGTTTACTTGCTAGATTGTGAGCTACCATGACCTACCTATTAAATGCGGTGGGATTCTGATTAGTGAAATCAAAGTGAATTTTATACTAGAAAAAAAAAAAAAAGAGATGGGTGTTAGAGCTAAGCAAAATTTAAGATTTACATTAATAAAATATGGGGATGATTTAGACATACTTTTAAAAGGTAAAGGGAATGTAGTTTTCTGAAGATTAGAAAACATTATTGCTGCAAACGTCCCAGGCTTCAAAAAACCTAGAATAACATTATTTGTTTGCAATCCTCTTTGGTAGCTAGATTTTATTTCATATTTTGGCCCAGGTACTGAAAAGCTCTTTTGAAGTAGTCTGATGACCTCTTTCTGCTGAAGCCATTAATGCAGGGCAAATAATGACTTGGTAATTCTGCTTAAAATCCATTAAAATGATTTGCTAATTGTAACTGGATAGCCTGCCATTCTGAAGGCTGGAGGACCTGTGGTTAGCCAGCCCTGAGATTATTGTCAAAGTTTTCTTAAAAAATAATAATTTTAGCAAGCACTTTTTTATGGCCACTTTATTGTGCTAAGAGAGTCAGAGGAGAAGGCTGCAGGATAGAGAGAAGCCTTGAATAACTGTGGGAAGGGGCTGCATAGAATGAAGCCCTTGAGAAAAAGCAGCTTCCAGGGACAAAGTTCTGTTCCGTGTTCATACTGAAGAATAACACATTGTGTGTCTCACAGGAATGTAATTCTTTGTGGGCTAGTTCAGCATTGTGCACAGAAATTTGAAGCCTTTCTGTAGTTTGTAACACACCACACCCAAAGCATTAGTGGTAATGATTTCCTTGTAGTTAATTTTTCTTTGTTAAGATTTCGACATTAACAAAATATCAGCTTTTCCTAATATTTGAATATTACCATGTCACATTGCCATAGTTTTGATTAAATGCTTTATGTGGAAAGATCCCATCAGTTCTTATCAGTCCCAGTAGCTTTAATCAGCATTTCTAGAAGCCATCAATTTTTCTCCTTGCATAGAGTCTAATTTTTATATAGATACTTCAGGATTGCTTTTTTCAGGAAAATAACTCTGTAGTCTTACATTCTTTCATCAGCTGTAGTTTCTACTTCATGTTGAAGTCAGTGTTATAGATCAGTTGTAATTAATGCTGGAAAATGTTTCTACTTTTCAGGGGTAAAGAAAAGATAACTTTAAAAAAATCCAGGATAATTGGGTATTGCTTGAGAAAAGTTTTATTCATCAATAGTAAGTGGCTAACAGAGTTTGAATTATCCGCCATGGTTTTGTCAAGCATGTCAGCATTACAGGGGAAAATGTGGCCAACTTTGATCTAGCTAAACTGGAAATTGCTAACATGAAGTTGAGAGTTTTAGTTTCAGGTATATTGATGAGGGTCGTGAAAGGATTTGTCTAATCGTGCTGTTATCACATCATTCTCAGAGAAAACGTGATCATTCTAATTTGAAACTAGGGTGGTGTTTTGCAAAAAGGTGTGATATGCTGAGCTGTTCAGTAGCACAGAAGCTGGTATGGATTTGTCAATGTAATAGGGGGAAGCTTTTTTATAGTCCCATATTGTCATAATATTTTTAATGACTTTGCATAGTCAGTGTTTTTCAATTATGCTTTAAAAAAGGATTATTCTTCTTAGTATAGAATTTATAGACAATGTATTTCTACAAGACCAGCTCCTTCAACAAGATTGCCAAGTGCAGGGTGTATAGATTCTGAAATAGTTGCTCCTGGTACTTGAAATGATTAATCCTACAGGAACAAGATTCTGCACATTTCAGAAGCATAGAGGGAGCAGTGACAGATGCATTTTTCTTTTTCTGAAGTAATTATAATTTCAAATTATGAAGATTGACAGAGGATACGGACATACTGAATCAAAAAGCTGTGAAGAATGATGGGTTGGTAACAGTTTATTAGTTGCACTTTTTTTCTTAGTTTAAAATTACAAGGTTCCCAACTTTACCTTAGCTTAGTCATGTTAAAGGGTTTTTACTTGCATTTGGTTTACAGTGTAACTATACCTTGACTTCTGTTGGTAAAACCAAACAGCAGGAATAGATGTGATATGTCTACTAGACTACTATGGTAGTCTAGTAGAGCTGGTGTGTCAGTTGGGTGAGAGTGGAAAAATTTACTTTTTATCCGGGAATGCTCTTTTGGACATTAGTTTTTGTTTCCCTTAATCATGTTCATTTTCATCACAACCAGGACAGTGTCCTAAATACATTGAAAGACAATTCTGTGTAAAAACCTGCTATTAGAAAATGCTGGTCTAAGACTTTATGTACTCCTAACCTTCCTCCCAATATAGTGGTAGCATGCAATAGATTCTTTTCAGAATTGCTCAGCCTTTTCAAGAGATTAGGAAGTCTCAAAACACAGTCCTGTTGTGCAGCTGTATCTTGTTTAAAAGTTTTTCTCTTACTTCATAATTTCATTTATGCTTCCACGATTTGGAGGAATCTCTGCACTTGTATATCTTGTGACCAATAGGCAAAGACACTGACATTCAGGATTCCTTTCCACTAATAGTAGTCAAAGTTACTGTGTAATGAAGACACCACAGATGTGCCTGAACTAATATTCTAGTGATGTAACTCTAAAAGGGTCTCCTATAACTTTCTTTGAGAAATGCAACTCGTTTACACAGTGACAGGAATTGAGTCTTGTGCAGATAATGCTCATATCCAGTTGAATAATTGGGGATTTCTAGAACTAGGATACTCTCAAAATAGGAACTCGGTGTTTTATGTAGCAAGTGATTTGGCTCATCACTTAGGTAATGAGTTTAGGTCATCACTTAACTCCAAATTTAACTACTTTTGAGGATAATGAGAAACACATTATGAAATAAGCCCCCATTCTGTAATGTCATTTGTTTTCTGGAGCCTGTAATTTGGGCTATATTGCAGACAACTACCTTATCTCTTGTAAGTTCTGTGGTTATAGAGATTAAGTTTTTTTTTTGTTTGTTTGTTTGTTTGTTTAATTCAGACCAGTTGTATTTGATGAATTTGGTGACTTGAAAAGACATTTCTTCTTTAGATAAAATGACTAGATGGTTTGGTAAGTTTTTTGAATAAGATTGTCTGATGTCTGCTATATGTGGTTTTCAGATTGTGAGGAAAAAGTTCAGGGAATTTCTTGAAAATTATTACTGTACCAAGAAACCTAGAATTTGCACAATGAGCTGTCTGTGAAGAACTTCGGTGGCCTTAGTGTTTTGTAGCCTTGCTTTTCTTCATTTGTCTGAGATGCAGATTTCTCTTGAGACCTCAGGCTAATGGGATTGTGTTGAAGACATCAGCCAAGACCTGGTTTTCCTATATGATGCCTGAGTTAAGTGTGAAGTATGTTTATGTTAACTTCTGTTGCTGCACATGGAAAACTGCTAGCAAGAAAAAAATGTAGTTTTTTGCTCTGCGAAACAGCTTAATTAACCTGGTTGAGATTGTCCATTCCAGTGTATAGTGATTTGAAGGGCAGCTTACCAAGAGTATTTCGAATAAATAAAGGTAATTTCACCTTAATCCTGAAAAGATTGTTGAGCTGTCATTCAAAAAACCACTCTGCTTCCATTTCATTCAAGGAGATGTACTGAAGTTCTCTGTTAATGCAAAATCTTAATTCCATTTTCCTGCCGGTCTGATCAAACTTGGAAAGGTTTTCAGAGGCTTTGTTTTTTAAAATACCCTTGATGTGAAAGTTAAAGCCAAAGCAAAAGTTACTATCTTCTCAGGTTTTTCTGATCTCATATCATGTTACCAGCTCTTTCCTTGCAATTGCCTGTTTAGGTGCCTGCAAGAGCAGTACACTAAACTTCATATTAAATGTATTTGTATGACTTTTACTGATGTTGATGCATGTTAAGAAGTTAAAGTCTTAGAAGTTGCTCTAATTACATCAGCTGCTAAAGACCAAAGTAGCCATCAGAGAAATTATTTATGCCTCATTTGATACTTTTTTAAATGTCCTTAGGGAATCTGCATAGAGCTATTCAGAACAGGGAGGCTGATGAGAATTAAAAGCTTTGGCTTTTGCATGTCTTTCACATTGTAACAAGAGTGGGCACAAAACAAGAAAGAGATGGAGGCTTTGTATTTAATTTTCCTTGAGATTGTCTTGAGCTGAAAAATGCCCTCTTGCAGCGTTTGAACAGAACATATTGCCCTGTTCTTCCTATCCATGTCAAAGGAGTAGCTATGGTAAAAGGAAATATGGGCCAGGAAACCCTGAGCTGAACATCAGGACACACTATGTGCCCCATGACTTATGTGAGTTAACTTGCCTGCACATCTGTGCTGTTTCTTACTCCCTGACTGGCTTGGAATGATTAGCATAACTCATACACAGAAGACTAGGGATTATGAATAAAGTCATTAGTGTTCCTTGAATGTGTGAGTACACTCAAGAGTGCGTTTGTTACAATGATTTTTACGTGTTTGAGTCTCCTTGTGTTTAGTTATTAAGTAAAGTATTTTCCTGTGTTCTCATAGTGAGTAACATAATGAGATTCCTCTCTCAGGTCTAGCTGCTCAGTGGGTCTCTAGCATAATAATAAGCAATAAATATAGGCCTGAAGGGTGTTTGCTGTTGTTTAGTGATGTTCATCATCTTTGGTGTTTTGTTTTTTAGCATTAATAAGTATTTTCCTAAATTTAGCATATGAATCAGAAAATATTGCATCTCTGCTGTGTACTGTCAGTGGTGAGACAGACTCTTTGGTGTGAAATATCATGCACTTGTAAATACACTCATAAGATGGCAGATTAGCAAGTCAAATGTGGTGAGTCATCAAACTGATCAAACAAATTTGGATACGAACCCTTTACTGATAAGAGACCATTTATTTGAAACAGCCAAAGGGTGAAATATTTCAAACCAAATTTTGTATAGAAATACTTGAAAAGGGGGGATGTTTTTTATAAAATTATAGCAAACATCTGTGTTCAGTTTTAGCTTTCTAGCCAAGTGGTTTTAATTACAGATTTTCTTGCATACATTCACACAATATATTATAGTATTTGTTGTGACAGAGTGTCTGAGGTTGCAACTCAAAATCCTTACCCCAAGCAACATGACTCACATTCACTCAGAGCTTCTACTTTTGTATTTATGTTATTGTGTCTACATCCTAACCAGGTAAATAACTGTTCTTTGAATAGGCACAATAATATTTTTCATTTCCTTCACTTTCTAGGCCGTGGGCAGTCTCTTTTTCTATTTTTCTGTCTCATTAACAAAGTTAATTGAAGAACTTTTGCCTCTATGAGGGCCTAGTTTATTTGCTCTTATGTAGTTTATCTACTCTTATCAAATAGTCTTTTGTGCTAGCTACTACAAAATTGTGGTGTCTGTTTTGCTAAGCAAAGTATCAGCAAAGATTAAAATGTTGTTTCTTTCATTCTCTCTCTGTCTCTGTGTCTCCTTTTAAGGGAGATGGATTTGGCCTAAAGATGTATAATTTCTTTTGGTTTTAAAGTGAATTCAGTTTGACAGATGAAAGCCTCCTTCAGATTTTTTTTTTTTTAAATTTAGAGGATCTCAGAAAAGTAGGAAAAATATTTCAGAGTCCAACACAAAAGTATGTTTGAACATGAAAAGACCTAAGACTCTGAAAAATATGTTTGCTCTACAGTTGTTCAAGAACTAATATTACTGCTGTAACAAGACCAACAATGGGAAAACTAGTTTAAGTTTGACATAAATTTTTTTTCTTATCTGCTCTTTCAGTGATTACGTGCCTCTGTTCTTGTTTAGTGATAATGTTTATGATGTTACTAGTGTGGGAAAAAGATCTTATGTAGACAAAGATGCAGACCTTGTATTAAAATACATTAATTGTATGGAAAAATGATAAGAATATCCTAATCTTGCTACTCAGACTTTCAGTTAGAATTATCTTTTCATTAAACATACACTCAATGAAAATGAGATACCAGGGTGGTCTCAAATTACCATCCAAATTACCATCAAAAGAATGGTTTTACAGGAATGATTTAAGACAAATGCTTAAGACTAATATTTGCTTTAAGACAATGCTTTCCAAGCGCATGAATAATAGATGTCATCAAACATTAGCTTTCCTTCTACACATTTTTAGCAGTATGCAATAAATGATTTCAGTGTTTACATTCAGTTTTATTGCTGATTAGATGTTGGCCCAATAACTGGTCATACTGCTGTCTTCAAGGTCTTGGCTTCAGTAGGATTATTTAAGAAGAAGAAATGCATGTGTTATTGCATATGGATAGCCACCTAATGGAATGGTGGCAGTAAATATCTAGTGAACCTCTAAGAACATGGGCAAATATTCCATCTCTTTATCCAAACTAGAGACAATGTTGTGGCTATAGTGCTAGCAGTAACTGTAACGATTTAATGCATATCCATGTACATATTCTGTGGACATCTAGTCAGCCTATGTTGTTACTTTCTGTAACAATTTTCTGACATAATTTATTAAAATTCTCTGTCAGGCTGAGATTTTTGTTACAATGCAAGCAAATTTTTGATACATCAAACAGCAACTTGATAGTCAAGTGGGGGTTTGGAGTTTGTTTAATGCTGTTTGTTTCAGGTATAACTAAACAAAGTTTTAGTGCTTCTGAAAGACAGCCTCAGATAAGGTAGTTGTAATTTATGATTTAAATGTAATTGATCATTGCTGCTATCAATTCCAGTTGATTATTTCACAGTGGAACAGTTCCTCAAGTTCCTTGTGAAACACATCCTTGGCTATCTTTACGGCTTCATTTTACCTCAGCCTAGGACACTAATTCTGCTTGAGGATATTGTTAGAGGGTGTTTGCACACAAAAGCTTTACATGAAAAATAGTTTTAACAATGGACCTTGCTACTGAAACCTAAACTGGCATCAGCTGATTATCCAAATTCTGGTTTTATATTTTTAAACAGATTTTTTTCCATAGAAAATGGTGCTTGTGTATTTGATAGTTTAGAGTATGTTGTAGTAGTGCAGAGTAGTATCTTGTCCCTTTGAACTCCTCTGGTCTTTCATAAACACCCATTTCTTGCATTTTGGAGGCCTCATTTCTTCAAAAAGGAAACAAACAGAAGCAGAATATGTCATACCACCCCTCTTCTAAAGATCCTCCTTTTTCTTCTGTTTCTTTAGTAATGCATCAAACACATTCTTAACCATTATTTTTTCCAATCACTTTGGCACCACCCTTATTCAGAAATGCTGTTAATTGTTTCTTCATTCCTGCTTTTTTTCCATATCTGGAAAAAAGACTCTCAAAATCACTCTTGGCTGCATCTACCTCCCCAACAATTTTTTTATTTTACCTTTGACTTAGCCAGGTAAGTATTTATAATGACAGCATTGATCTTTTCCTGTGTTTCTCCACAGAACCTGTCTTAGTCAGGTGCAATATTTTATTTTTGCTTTCAGAATGGCTCTTAGCATGACACCATCCACTCTGCCATTTATCCCTTCCTAACCTTACATCTTTTGCAGTCCTCCCCGTGCTTGCAGTTCTGTTGCAGCCTCCCCATGCTTGAGTGTTGAAGAAGGTACATTTTCTTTCTCTTTGTAGAAATTCACTGCTATACAAATCTCTACCCCTCACATAATCATCAGCTAAACTATTTCCTTGTCTTAATTTGTAACTACTCCTTGAAACTGTGGTTTTCCCTACTGCCACAAAAATAGATAAAAATTCTTGCTGTACTTGGGCTATCGCGGCTGCCATCCATCAGGACATCGTGTTTGTTCTTTCAGTTCCCTGGTGTCTGTGCCCATTTGTTATTGCTTATCTCAGCTAGTGAAATCTGCAGGCTGGGAAAGTATTTGTCCAGAGGTTAGAGAAGGATCTAGCACTGAAACATGTAGACCTCTATTTCTGACATTGAGATATTGCGATCCTGGTGTTGTAATACCAATTTTTTCCCCACTTGTACTGACCAAGGAAAGAAACATTTATTTAGTAAAAGGCATTCTATTTTGGACATGCATAGTAAACCAGCCTTTAAAAATGCACAGTTGTAAACTAGTGAATGTGGACAGATTTCCTTTAGAGGAAACATGAGAAGGAGTCAGGGAATACTGATATTTTCTCTACAATTGTTGATGCCAAACACAGTTAAAACTTTTTTTTTAATAACGATGGATTATGTTGGCGGTTCTGGATCAAGACTGTGAGCAGGTAATTTTGTACTTGCAAGAAATTCAAACTTTGACTTAAATTAAACCTAACAATTTTCAAGTTTTTGAACATGATTACATTATTCTCTTGTTGCATATAGAATGTTTTCTCTTTTATTTCTTCCTCTTTATTTGCTATTGATCTGTTTTTAAGAGTACCTTCACTCACCCATGGTTCCCACACTAAGAAAATCAAGTGTTTGTTCATGATGAGATGGCAGTTTCATAGTCTACAAGTTGTAGCTCTTTGCAATATGAAACATCATGGTTTTATTTATAATTGTATTTTTAAATGTTAGAAAAAGAGATAATTACATTTTACATATAAATATGTTATCTGAAGTATCATTAAGGTACTTCTTAAAAGTATGAATTCCAATAGTGAATCAGTAAGATCTCATATTAATTGTCATTATCCCAGCTAAACTTCTGCAGAATGAAATGGGAAATTCTCCTGTAAAATGAATATTTCATACAGCCCTTGCAAATTATCATGTATTTATGCATCATGATTGATGAAGCAAATTTTCCATTTGAAGTACTGTTCCTTTTACTGAGAAGCTTCACACCCTGTGAAGCTGTGATTTCAGAATGCATATTGTCTGAGTTAAATAATATCTGAAATAAAATTATTTTGATCAGTTAAGATATTGATCTCCATTAAAAAGTGCTTTTTGTCTGTACTAAGTTCTATTGTACAGCTTTTAATATAAAAACTGTATTAAGAATTTCAGTTATAGAGTACAAATCCAAATTTGATCTCAACCTTCTGTAGTTTCAGTGCTGTTTGCTAAAGGGTACCATATAATAATAACAACTCAGTTTAAACATAATGCCTGCAAGCTATAATGATCTACAGAAAAATACTTTAGCCTTTGTTGATATTTTCAGTTCTGTGAGTAAATTGAGTAAATCCATTATCTTTTGCAAGTGATGTTTTCCTTTTGGATAAAAGTCTTAAAAGCATTGGTCAAGTCTTCAGCAGCCTATTCACACATGAACCCTCATCTTCCAAATAATGCTGTACTTCTGTATTTAAAAAAAACCAAACCAACCAAACAAGGAACTTGGAGTGGTCTGGAGTGTATGGACTTTGTGGGAACTCCTAAAGTCTTTGAAGGACACAGATACTACAAGTAGACATTAAATCTGGTCCTCCTAGACTTTTAAGTCATATTGTTGCTGGCATAATAGAAAAGAGAAAAAGCTACATAAGTTGAATAACAGAGAAATCCAAATTATATACTTCTTGGTCTTTGCTGTTTGCTGTTGTCATTCTAAACATATTTCTATTCAGAAAAAAATAAATTAAAACCTACAAAAAGAAAGTCCCTGATTGATTTACTTTTGGTTTGTAATACAAGCCATTGACAGGAAAAGAGGAGACAAATACCACAGAATAGGGAGCAGTGAGAAAGGGAACATGTCAAAGAAGTAAAGGCTTTATGAGTGTCCTTAACATAACTGAAGATTTTAAGGCTACAATGTCAAGACCACACTGGGTTCTTTTGGGCCTTGAATATAACAGTATTAAAACAGTTGGTAGAGATGAGAAAATGAAGCAAAAAGAAGTAAATCAAAATTGTTCTTCTGGTAGCATATATTTTGGATTATTATAGCATGGCCTCCACTGTCACCTTGAGCAGAACCAATGTAAATAAATTCTTCTTTAAGTGACTCAGAGGAAGTGCAAAACTTCTTCTCCTCTTACTGATTATTAAGAGAAGACTTAGGGAAAAATATGTCAAACTGAATTTCACTTGGCTTTCTCAAGAGATCTGCCAAAAGGCAGTGCAACAAAAAAACCCCAGCAATATCAGTGTTGTTGTCTTCTTGATCCTACTAGAAATGTGTCTCCCTGTGGTAGAGAAGGATGTTTATCTGTATTGCTTTATTTCTGTGAGAGCATAGTTTAGATCTGGATGATTTTAGACACTAATAATTTTGAATATCTTTCTTCTTATTAACGTAGCTAGCACAGAAATTTATCTGTAAAAAAGTGGTAATAGTTCTGTTGTGGACTAGTTAATGTTGGTATTTGGATTTCATCACCCTCTCAGTAGAATTTTTAATCTTGACATAAGATCACATCGAGAAAAAAAAAAAATTCTGTGGTTGTAAATTTATACATAAGACTTGATGATCCTCAGGGTGTTTCTGTGAGAGTAAATGTTAGAATATCTAAATTAGTCTCTGAAGTGTGGTTTAGAGAAAATTGTATTTAGGAGAGGTACAGGGCTGCTGGCTGAAGTTCAGTACTTTGGCCAAAGCTCTTCACTTAACTCCGAGGTGTAATGGTCAACTTGGTGATTATTTTGTGAACTAATGTTCTTTTGTAATGTACTAAGTGTTTTATAGTGGAAGTCTGCTGATAAACTTTTATTTAATCTCTGGGCCTGACAATGTGTATGACTTTAATAAACAAGATTAAAAATCCTAAACAATGGATTTACCTCATTGAAATAATCTATGTCAGATATATTATTATAATGTTTAGGGTAGAATGAAAATAAATTCAATAACATCAAAATACATTAAAAATATATTGTGTTAGTCTAGTAAAAAAAATCAGTTAATAAAATTATGTTTGTCATATATTTATCCTTTTGAATAAATGTGACAAAATTTTAACAGTTGTTGAGGTACATTAATACTGCTTCTCATGGAGTAATTTAGTGATTCAGAGGAAGCGATTTTCTTTTGAAACACATTGTCTAAATTGTCACCTACATTGTCTAAATTTTTAACGTTTTAGATTATCCTTTTTTTTGTTCCCAGCATTATTAGGAAAACAAGTCAAGCATTTCAACTTGGTATTTACATTTACAAGTTTTAAACATTGTATGCTGTTAATGTGCTAAGGCAACAAAATGAGCTGCCCTCCTGATTTCACTCTTGCTATCTACAGCGTTGGCAGGAATTGCTGTATCACAAAGGAAGGTGCATCAGATCAGTGACCCTGTTCAGCAGATTCTTGTTCAGCTGCACAAAATTATCTTGAGCACTCAAGTATGCATTACTGTTGCTTCTGACATTCTGTACTTTTTAGTCATTTGCTGTTGTCAAAATGATGTTACTGCAAAGTGCTGCTAATTTAGTTACTGTTCTTTAAAAACAACAGAACTTGACATTTTTGCAGATGGCAGGATGCTTTAAAAATATATCATTAAAATAAAGACTAACTTTGAATATTAGTATGTGGAGGATGGCAATAATTGAGTCATATGAAGAAAAAAAAAGCTGTAGCTCACCTCAGAAAAATTGATTGTACAGTAAAGTATTTTTACAACATTCTGTCATACCAGCTATATGAATACTTAAGGTGACAATATCATATACTGACCTGGAGAGTTAATAAAATGCTTTTCTCTGTAGTAATAGTCTTGAAATAACTTTGAAATTGTATTTTAATTATCAGTACATAGTAATACTATCTTCGGATTTGTAGTGCAATAGATGAAATCCTGAATATGTTAACTATTTTGAAATGTCAGATATTTTTCAAATTTAAGACTTGTTTCAAAACTAAGTTAATCTGTTACATAGTTAGAGAGAGTTGAGGTTATTTCATGTTGATTCCAAAACAAAAATGGAGCTGAGCTGATACAAAAGTTGCCTTGAATTCTCACCTAAAAATGTGATTGGAACCTCTTTATTCTGCAGAAAGATGGCTACCATGCAGCTATTTGAAAAATTTGCTATTGTTAAGTAAATAGCTTTTTATTTTCCAAAATGAAGTGTTTACATTTGGGATGTGATGTTTATCACCTCAGGGCTTTTGAGATTGAGCAGCCAAATTTGTTTGGTTTTGTTCAGAACACAATAACATAACTGAACTTGGTGTGCTTTACATGTCTCTCTTTTGGTTTTTTTTTTTCTTATTAGTTCTCAAGCTTATTAAAACAGGTAATACAATAATTAAATTATCAGAGACAAAGGAAACAAACATTATTTAAAATAATTGGAAATTATATCCTTCTCCTATCAGCAGAAATGAGGCAATTCAGTTTTTACATGGTATTTTAGGAGCATGTCCAAGGTGCTCATTAGTGAGCGTATCTCTCTGTTGAAGAAGGTTTTCTCAAGTGGCTTACTAATTAATATGAATTATTCTAGTGCAGATGCTCAAGATCTGAGAACTTTCAGCAACTCAAAAACTGACTCAGAATTGACCACTGAAGCAGTAGCAACAGCTTTTCTCTGATTTCAGAGAAACCAGAATCCATACCTGTACTTGTTTCTATGTTCCAGATGCCTCCCTTGCACTTGTTTATGTTTTTACAAATCTAAGGTCAAGTATTTTTTATAATACATAGCTGTTTTCTCAAACTCTTACATATTCCAGCTGACAGTTCTAAACTGAAGTTTGCAAGGAAGAGTTCTTGCCTGTTAGTTCTTGGCTGCCAGCAGCCTTCCCTGTTTCCATGGGAACAAGAATCAGAATGATCTCTGGAAAACAATGTAAGGGAAAGCTTTTTAAAAAGCATTATGTAAATCCTTGGCCTTTTTTTATTTTATTTTTTAACTGATCTGACAACTGATTTCATTAAAATAAAAGCTAAAATTGAACACTAATGCCTGAGGCAACTCCAAGTTTTTCAAGCACTGGACTTGTTCTTTACCATTTCTGCTTCAGAATATCCCAGTATCCCCATGGTACATTGACTGCACACTGCGGTGGTATGTAATCCATAGAATATGTTGTTAGCCTTTCCTAAGGCATCATTTTTTTTTTACTCTCTCATAGGCTAAGGAACATTCAACTTCTGACTTAAAGCACATGTGTAAAGCCTTATAGTGCTATGTAATCCATAGAATATGTTGTCAGCCTTTCCTAAGGCATCATTTTTTTTTACTCTCTCATAGGCTAAGGAACATTCAACTTCTGACTTAAAGCACATGTGTAAAGCCTTATCTGCATGGGAAAAGAGTAGTATCTGTCTGTAAGAAAAAAAAAATCTCTGCATGCCAGCAGCTGACTGGAGAAGTCTTTTGTGCTTAGCATGTGACTTTGATCCCTGCTTTGTCAGAGCAAATCAGGACTCCTGTGAGGCCAATAAAACCATTCTGGATTTATAGCTGTCTAAGAGCAGGAATTTGTTCCAGTGGGATAAATGTCTCTATAATGTCTGCTATGGCAGTGCTTGAACGTGGATCATTAGTGGTCAACCCCTCCCTAAGTCAAAAAGCTTCCTGAATTCAGTTGAGTGGTACATCATGAATTTACATCAATGAAATGATTATAAATGGTAGAAAATCATCGTTTTTCAAACAGTGTCTGCAGGTATAAGCAACTATGCAGACACAACACAGAAGATAAATTCAAAAGGGTAATAACATGCCATAGAATTATTGTCAGACTGGGTTGATGTCATTGCAGTTACCAACAGCTGAAACTGTACATTTGCTGTTGGAATGTAAAAATTATTTTAAAGGAAAAATTATTTTAAAGTCTTTATTGAAGACTTTAAGTACATTATTTGTGGGTTTTTTGAGTTTTTGGGGTTTTTTTGTAAATATAGATGAAGGATGTGTTCTTTTTCAACCAAAAGGATACAGGAAGAAAAAGAATATAAAATCAGTTGTGCTTTCTAAACAAGTGAAAGGTAAATTACATCCCTCAGGAAGCTTAGAGCAAAAGGGGTGCTCTGAATTGTATTAAGACCCATAAGGACCTTAAAAGAGGCCATTGAAGCCATTCTATGGATGTTCAATGAAGGTCTAATTTTCTTTATTAATTTCAGATGGAGTGATTCATTATAGCCAACATGAAATCTAGTGTAATGTTCTATGTGCTTCCTCTGTAGAAAAATGTCCCAAATACTAGCACTTTGATCAGGGAGGCAAATCTGGTATTACCAGTGTTAGGCTAATAATGATGTTTAGTTTCAAGACTAGAGGAGCTGAGTTACATGGCAAGCTAAGCCTAACAGAACAGGCAAACAAAGGAGCCTTATTATAATGTGCAATTAAATCAAGTGTTGTACTCTTGTTTATCACATGCCATTAGACACCCATGTTTCTTTTTGCAGGGTAGCTACATTTCTCAGTAATGGCACTTCTGAATGGATCATTTTTATGGCAGGTGTAACTGAATGGTGAAAGTGTATTTCTTTGTTTCATGTAGCTTCATCCAGTTGTGCAATGCAACTTGAAAAGCAGAATCATTGAGAGATTCAAGAAGTCCCTTTTCAGCCAGCAGAACAATCCTTGTAAACTGTAATCAGAAATCAAAAAAATCACCATTTACTACTTGTGGTCAAAATCAGAAATAAAAAAAAAAAAAAAATCACCATTTACTACTTGTGGTCAAGTTTGTCTCTCTTTCCATTCAATCATTCTGTTGATATTAATATCACAAAAATAAAAGAGTCCATTTTCAAAAGGAAATCTTTGAAATATTCTCAAACTATCCTATATTTGGAAAATATGGAGTCTCCTTAAGTGTGAAGTTTTGCAGGTTGGTTTTAATTTTGTATCTTGTCATTAGAACTCTTTCTGTAAATGGAAAGGACCTGCTAGCTTCTAAGACACAAAACCAGATTTCATCTCATCAGAGCTCAAAAAGACAAGAGGAGAGGCAACGTAACTAGAGATTATATAAGATCTTAATTTATGCAAGCTCTACTTGATTTGTTAATAGTTCCTTAACATTTTTCATATTTTGGACTGTATTCCTACTTAAACCATTAATCTTAAGAGAGCAGCATCCCAGAGTACCTTGAATATAACATACCTTGTCCTGCTGTTGCACAGTGTGTCAGCAACGTTGTAATGTCATCAGTTTAAAAGTACTGCACAGTCATAAGAATGGCCTGACTGAAAAAGCATTCTTGCATGTTTTCCAGTGACATGCTGGATGCTTTCCAACAGAGAAAGATCTAAGGACTAATATCAGAATTTCTAAATTTTCCTTTAGATTCTCCTGAGAGGATTGCAATCAGCAAAAGATTTGAACTTTACTTCCTTGGCATCTGTGTACTGTGGGAGAATGAAGCTAAGATATTTCATTTATGAATTGATGATAAAGTAGTTATTAGATTTATTATTGTACCTAAAATCTGATGACTAAGGTGACTTATTATCATTCACATAATTCTCCCTCTGTAACTTAATTTGATTATCACCTACTTCCACTGAATTATGGAATGTCACCTACTTCCACTGAATTATGGAATGTTCTGTGTCATTGTTTGCCATGAAACAGACTGATCCCAAATGCTGGATCCTTCCTTTGCTTTTGTAACAATTAACATGAGGTGCTAAAACTTCCTGGAAGGTGGCACATTGGTAGTGCATTAGAAAGGTAGCTAAAGATGCTTCTTTCTGAGCTAGCAGTTTCATGCTGTCCTGTAAATCAAGTTGTGATTTACATTAAACAATTCCTGTACTTCAGCCATAACATTAAATCTAAGAAATATCTGCTCATTGTGTTGATGTTTTCAGAAACTAATACCCAAAAATATGGTAAGAAAAAGGAAGTGTTTATTATAAAATTAACCTAATTTTCAGGTGTTCAGAAATAAAGGAAATGATTTGTGAATGTTATCAACTGTAAAATTGTGTTAGCTTCAAAACTATTGAATTTAAAGGGAATAAATACTCTATTTAAAAAGTAAATTGTAGTAAATTGAAAGTGCTTGAAATGTTGAATGCAATTCTGGGCATTCTACCTTGAAGGAAATATCATTTGGATATCATTTGGAGGTAATGGGAGGAACCTAAATAGAGAAAAGAATGATGATGAATTCTTACAGCAAATGTTGTTATGATGTTGTATGATTTCTGGAAATAAAATTTTAAAATAAGGGGGTTTTAACTACACCAAGTTAGAAAATGTAATAAGAAGTACAGACAAAAAAATTCCTCCACTGATGAGTGGTGGGGTAAAGATCTTCCAACAACAGAGATTCTTCTGTTTCAGTTATGCAGAAATGCATAACTGAGATTTCAATTCTGTACATGAAGGTGGTTCCATTAGAGTTGTTACCAGGGGATATTTTCAAAACTAGATGCTTTTAAGTTTAATGTCAGTATCATTGCTCATATAATCAAGTAGCTGAACTGACTTTCAGATTTCAAAAGTGCTGAATTCCTCTAATGGGAATTATACCACTTGAATATCAGCTAACAATTTCACTTGAAGCCACAGTTTTAAAAACCAGAGTAATCAGCTGTTTCTCTCATAGGTTCAAGAGAATACACTTTCCTCTTTATTTTCACACAAATGTGTAGTTTGTGACATTTTTTCAGATAATCTGAAAAATTCAGTGCTTTAAACTAAGTGCAGCATGCAATATTCAGTGTTTCTGGAGAGAAAAAGTTAGGATGCTCAGAACTGTGTTCACCACTTTTTCATTAGTCTAAAAAGTACTGACATTTCTTTTGGCTTCTAATTGAGCTGGGAAACATAAGAAAGTGTGAACTGGCTTCTAGAAGTCTGAAGTTTTGGCAAATGAGAAGGAGGTGCTTTTCAGGTGTCTTTATTTTTTTGGTCTCTTTTTTTTTCCCCCTAGATACTGCTGAATTGATTATCTTTCCAGCAGATTGGCATGGGGTACATCTTTCTTCAGGTGGACATGTGTTGCTTCCAGATGATAAAAAAGGTAAACAAAGCATCATAAACTTCTGTAGTGGCATATATTTTTCTAATAAAATGTATGGTATCAAAGCAGAAGGAATTGCTACTCTAAGATCAGTCTTTAAGGACAATAAAGTTATGTTGACCATACTGATTTTCTGAGGGACGGGGAGGGGGGGGGGAGGGTGTTTGTTTGTTTTTACTTTAGGGTTCTTGGTTGGTTGGGTTTTGTTTTGTTTAATTCCTGGTAAGATGCACAGTTCAGCACTGTTGGAACTTTCTACTGATTGAAGAGAGTACACTTTGAAATTATAAAGAAATATCACAGATGCAAATAATTTATGATTCCTCCCTGAAAATTAATAGAAATGTTTGCAACTGAAAATGTCATACTAAAGATTTACCTGTCCTTGTGTATGATTTTTAAATCAACTATATTTAAACCCTTATGTTTTTCTTTTGTCATGTTTGAAATAGTTGTAATGGGTTGATTTAATTACATAGCTAGATCAAACCATATGAACTTGAGGAGGGAATTATACACACACACACATATATATATGTATGTAAGTATATATACTTTAGAAAATTTATCAACATATGTGTCAATTCTACTTTGGACTAGTGATACTCAGCAAGACAAATCATAAACACCTTGTAAAATGAAACCTGCCAGCTGTGGGATCACCCAGGGTGGGGTACTACAATTCCTGGTTCAGAGACTTTTTTCATCATGTGTTTTTTTGTGCAGTGGATATAAGGGAAACATGCAGCCTGTATTTTGGTAATTGTGCCATTTACATTCTTCTAAATACAGAAAAAACTGTGTTGCAATCCATGGACTAGAGGATACAGTAACATTAAAATCTGTGGTGCCAGAAAGAAGAGTGAGAAACTCTAGTTTTGATGGTCTGTGTTGAAAATAGTGTGTCTGTTCCACAGTTTATTGCAAAAACGAGAATTAATACTAGGTGTCAAGGGTGACATTGGAGTAGGAAATGAGTCCCTAACAATCCCTTTAAATATGAGCATTATTTTGTTCCTGGAGACGATAATGCAATTTGTTGATATGCTCATTATCTGTAATTTTTGAATCTCTTAACCTGCAGACAATACTTTTGTCCTCACAAATTGCTGCTGGCTGTGTGCCCTTTCCACCGTAAATTTCCACTGTAAGTGGGAAAAAATAAGAAAGTTGCATTTCTGAGTTCTATTACATTAAGTCTTTAAATTATTTTTCATTAGTTAGAATACTTCCATAATGTGTGCGTGCCAAATGTTCATATCGTGCCATAAAATGACCCCACCTTTTCAGGGGATCATTGTGCTCAGTGGGAGTTACTGATCATGAAGCTTCTGTCTTGTCATTATGTTTGAAGTGGCATTGCTGAGAAACTGATAAGGGAGCACAGATTCCAAATTCAGTAGTATAACATTACTTGCCTTTTACTTGAAGGAATTCTTGGCACTTCTGGCATGGCAGAAGGGATGACATATGAGCAGTTGCAGGGAAGCTGTATATTTACCTATATGTATTCATTTATTACTCTTAATGAACATAATTCACTGAAATTAAGTTCTTTTGCATCATAGACTCTAATTGAAGAGGTTCTAGAGGAAAGTGGTTATTACAGTTTCTCTTCTTACAGGTCAATCTAGTCAATTTAAGAAAAAAAAAAGGTTAATTATGAAGTGCTAAACCCAAATGTATCATCTTCCTGTTTGTTGACTGCAATTCACTTTAAACTTGGTGCAGATTGTGGTTTATTATAATAAATGGATGCATGGACTGGAAGAAATGTATGTGGGACATATTAGCTAATCTAAGCAGTTTTTTTTTGCCCACATCTGTTTTCTTCATTCAGATGAAAGAGTCGTACAAGTGTGGCAGCAATTTCCTCACATTTTTTCCCACATAAACTCACATCTGAACAAAAGGTTAATTACATAGAAGAATATTTTATTTAACATTCTGCCATTACAAGGTTTAAAGGACAAAGCTGATATCTTTGGCAAAAGGTTTGAGTACAGCACAAAAGCCAGTATAAGTGTTTACTAGTACAAAAGTGCAGGGGATGAAAACAAATGCGGTGGTCTTTGAAACTAGGCAAATGCTTTGTCCTCAAGATGGTATATCTTTTTCTGCAGGAAAATTTTGACACAAGAAATAAAATATATTTACTATATATTTTTTCATGTTTTTCACCTGATATCCTATTATTTATCATCTCAAATAGTCTTTAATATTAACTGCTTCCATTAAGTAAGTCTATTTGTGTCTTTACATTAATCACCATTTTAAAGTCTGGGTGACTGCAGTTAGGTTTTCTAAAACAAACGAATAAACAAACATAAACCCTCCCAGCCCCTTGCCCTCCACATTATAAGTGTTAAGAGATTTTAAGAATGGTTCCTGGTGCCTCAGAAGTATTTTTCAGTTATTTTTTATCTTTGCAAGATTTTTGGTATGATTCAAGCTCAAAAAATTTCTGATGGTAATCTATCGGATACTCATTAAACTGGAATTTCAGCTTGCAAGTGTCTTGCAGCTGCCAGCTCAAAGTATTGAAAATTTCTTTAATATTAACTGCTTCAATTAAATAAGTCTATTCATGTCTTTACATTAATCACCATTTTAAAGTTTGGGAGACTGCAGTTAGGTTTTCTAAAACAAACAAATAAACAAACATAAACCCTCCCAGCCCCTTGCCCTCCATATTGTAAGAGATTTTAAGAATGGTTTATGGTTCCTCAGCAGTATTTTTCAGTTATTTTTTATCTTTGCAAGATTTTTGGTATGATTCAAGCTCGAAAAATTTCTGATGGTAGTCTATAGGCTACTCATTAAACTGGTATTTCAGCTTGCAGGTGTCTTGCAGCTGCCAGCTCAAAGTATTGAAAATCATGATTCAACACTCCCAAAATAAAATAATAGTTCAGTATTTAAACCTTCAGGGTGTGCTTGAATTATGTTTACAGATTACTTTTTCATCCATGTGATCTAACAAACTTCTTTATGAATGTTTTCAAGTATCTTAAAATTTTTGCTGTCATGACAATGGATCCAAGACACACTTTATGAATGTTTTCAAGTATCTTAAAATTTTTGCCATCATGACAATCTCCCAGAATTTGATGCTGTAGAAAAGGCATCACACAACTTATGGGAAAAAAAAAAAGATATAATGTTATAAATATACAAATGTGTTGCAGTTTTATAGGCATTTATCTTACAGACTAGCAAAAAGTGTCTTACTTTAATTAACTGTAACGAAGGAGGTGAATATGCTGAATATGGACTTTGGTGGTTTTTTCAATAAGAACTACTAAGAGATAAGGTATCTATTAAAGGAAATCAGAATGATAGTGTATCTCATTTTGAAAGGACATGGAAGGGTTGAGTCCAACTCCCTGCTCCTCACAGGACTTCCTAACACTAAGCCATGTGACCAAGAGCTTCACCCAGATATTCCTTGAGCTCGGACTCCTTGAACTCCTTGGTGCTGTGATCACTTACCTGGGGAGACAGTTCCAGTGAGGAACCTTTTCCTCATGGCCAATCTGAACTTCCCTTAGCACAACTTCATTCAGTCCCTTGTGTCCTATTACTGTAAATGTAATTGCTGAAATGTAGAGCATACTTCAAGATTGCAGGCACATATGCTGATACTTTCAACATATGAGTGCCACAGAAATGCGCATGGGACTAACAGCAGTGAAATAATTAACTGTCTTTTTTTCCTGATTTATTCAGAACTTTTTTTCCTGCTCTGCTGAAATTCCTTAGAGAGTAGCTGTTCTGCAGAAAAACTAACTTAAGATTCTAAATCTTTAAAAATGTCATTTTAAGGGAGGCATAAAAAATTGTCCTTCATAGCTACATGGGATGACAGCACAGTACAAGGAATTCTTCTCGATCCTGCAGAAGGCAACAGGTGTTAGCAGTACATTTCAACACATATGTAATGTAAGGTCTGGAGAAGGCCAGAGATATTCATCATTAATCACATTGGTGGATGTGCTGTCTTTGATTTTCACAGGAGCACAGGAAAATTGGAAAGCACATTTTGTTTCCTCTGAGTCACGCAATTTCTTTAGCAGCACTTGGAATATGTTATCCACAATCAGTGCTGATCTGTGTTTTCTTCATGGGATTTTTAGCAAAAAACAAAATTGATTTTGGAGTGAATTTTTGAGGAATGGAGTGAAGTCTCCTCACAGGTGTGAATCTCCTTAGAAGCAGTGTGTTTCTAGATTTTGTTGTTTTTTTTTAATTGCTTAGATTTGTTAATGGCATGTCTGTAACTGCTATTGCAGATTTTGCCTGACTCCACTTCGCATGTGTTACTACAGCATGTCCTGGCTTTAGCTGGCAGGTACAAGACAGACTTACTGCAACCCTATTGTTGGTCTGTCACCAGCAACTTGTTTTTTCGCTATGCTTTTTGTGGTGGATTGACCGTGGCTGAATGCCAGGTACCCACCACAGCTGCTCTGTCACTCCTCTCCACAACTGGGTGGGGGAGAGAAAATAAAACAGAAGGTTCATGAATTGAGATAAGGATAGGAAGAGACATCACTCACCAATTCCTGTCACAGGCAGAACAGACCTGACTTGGGGATATTAGCTGAATTTATTACCCATCAGAATTAGAGCAGGATAATGAGAAGCAAAACAAATCTTAAAAATACCTCCCCCACTCCCCTCTCTCCTTTCTGGCTTTACCTGCTCCCCCAAAGGGGTGCAGAGAGACAGGGAATGGGGTTACAGTCAGTTCACCACAGGGTGTTCCTGCCACTGTTCAGGGAGAGGAGTCCTTCCCCTGCTCCACTGTGGGATTGCTCTCACATGAGACAGTTCTCCACAAATTTCTACAGCCTGAGTGCTTCCCATGGGATACAGTTCTTCACAAACTGCCCTAATATGGGTCACTTTTCCATGGGATGCAGTCCTTCAAGAGTAGCCTACTGCAGTGTGGGTCCCCCACAGGATCACAAGTTCTTCCAGGAAACCTGTTTCAGTGTGGTCTCCTCTCTCCAAGGGTCTGCAGATTCCTGCCAGGAGCCTGTTACAGCATAGGCCTCCCATGGTTTCACAGCCTTCTCTCAGGCATTCACCTCTCCAGTGTGGGTCTCCTCCGTGGGCTGCAAGGGACCTCTGCACTCCCGTGGACCTCCATGGGCTGCTCCATGGATCTCCACAGTTGCCTCACCATGGGCTGCACCAGGGTCTGCAGGGGAATCTCAGCTCTGCTGCATGGAGCAGCTCCTGCCCCTCCTTCTCCACTGACCTTGGTGTCTGCAGAGTTGTTCTCACATTCCTCTCACCCTTCTCTTCTCTGAGCATAACTAAATCTGAACAATATTTTTTTTTTCCTTTTTAATCTGTTATCACAGAGGCATTATCACCATCTCTGATTGGCTCAGCCTTGGCCAGCAGCAGTCCTGGAGCCAGCAGGCATTGGCTCTGTCAGACATGGGGGAAGCTTCTGGCAGCTTCTTGGAGAGGCCACTCCTGTAGCTCTCCACTACCAAAACTTGTCCATGCAAATCCAGTTAGAATATTATTATTTGCTGTGATGCATAATTATGTTTGGTTCCCCTGCTGCTATTATGTTAATTGTTTCCCAGACAAGGTTCTACTCCCAAATAACTTATATTCTTTCCTCCAGAAAATGACGGACCAGGCTTTAACCTTGGCTGTCAAAAACATGTCTATATTTCTAGAGAACTTGCTATGTTTTCTGAAGTGTGTTCTTCTCAGTGCCATTCAGAGCCTTCAGAACTTCTTAAATTTTTATTCTTTGGTGCTCACACTCTGCCCAAATAGCCAGAGTCCAGTTTTGATAGCTGTCCAGTATTGAATGATTCATTTGGTTACCAGACAGAGTCATTAGGCTTCACCTCAAACTCTCCAAACAACATGAGCAAGCTAGAAGAACAGATCACTTTCCTCACCTGCACTGCAAGTCACTTATCAGTGTCCACCATTACCTGGTTTTATTCCATCACACAGTAATTGGTTTGCAGCCCTCACAGTAACATCCCATCAGCCATTCTTGCCTAAAGCTGATTTGAGCCTGGCTCTACTGCTCTTTTACATACAGTGAGACATTTCAGAAGCAACTGCAAATTTTCCAGCAGAACTTCAAACCATCCTGTAGCTATCCTGCGATCCCCTTAGAAAAATATTCACAGAGGAGCTTTAGAAAAAAGTACTTAGAGTAATGAATATCTGTATCTTATTTGCTTTAGCAACATATTGGGCAATGCTATTTTTAAACTTACTTGTGTAACATTAAAAGCTTTTAGTTCAGACTGGGTTTTTAATTTTCTAAGTTGTAATGATGCAGCACGTGTGGGTCTTTCCCAGTGGAAACAGAATGACAGTGCTTCTAGCAGGAAACAAATTGCCTTCCCTTCAGCTCATAATATGGCTCTAGTTTGTGTAGTAGAAATGAGAAGGAAAAGAACTTCAAGGGCTCCAAAGTCCTTAGAAAGCACATCAAAATACCACAAACTTGATTTGAGAAATTGCAAATATTTAAAGATGCTTTTTGTTTTATGGGCCAAACTTTCTTGTGTTTTCTGACCAAGCAGACATTGACATTATCCATTACATATATTGTAAGGCTATAAGGTGAATCTTGGTTTAGAAC